TTGCAAGAGCGGTCTTCTGTCGGTTGCTGCACTCGCAACTTTCAAACATAGTCTCCATTTCGGAGATCCAATTAATTACTTCCACTGGCGTCGGGCTTCCGGATACACATGGTGGTTTGGATGCCATGAAATCCTTATACTTGTACCCACGCACATCATTACCTCTATCCTAGTTATTCTGCATAACAATCGGTGGGTCGTCTTGACCAATGATCCCACTAAAGTTTCCTCCTTCAAACTGCCCTCCATTTACTTCGGGCTCTTAGACGTGAATTGACAGTTCTTCGCGATCTGCCTAAGCAGACGTTTAGTTTCCTCCATCTGACGATCCAACATCATCTGAATCATCAATTGCACTCCAGCCATTGTTATTGGCTCGGGTGCTGTTGTTGCAATAGCTACTTACTCAATTACAGGTATTTTATTCCTGTTTTCGTCCACGTTTCCAACTTCACTCCTTGTTCTCACCACTTTTGATCTATATACTGAATAAGGTGAAATTAGATCCTCATTCATGATAGATATTCAAATCATCCTTATCACTATGAAACGTTTACATGCTAGTTCTAATACCGTAGTCATACGCTTAGAATCCTAAACACATAAGGTTTCCAGATCCGGTCGGCAACAGACCATAGATCCGAACAAATAATATCATATATGGCAACATATAACATTTAGCACATGAAAGCATTTTAGGCAACTTTCCTAAAATAAACTAGTGCTCGTGTCTGAAATATAGCAGACACACATCTAACAATCTCCACTTAGCATTCTAAGTTTAAGTCTAGAAATCCTACAAATTCCTAGTTCGCTTAAACTACTACTATGATACCAACTGTGACATCTCCAAAATCTCAGCCAGAAAAGACCGATTTCATTTATGCTTTTTAAAATAATTTCAAAGTAAATCCTTTTGATTTAAAAGAGTTGCGGAATTTGTTCCCAAAAACAAAATATGATAAAATAATATTTATCAAAGCATTTCATCAAGAGATGCATTTTCATTATATAATCAAAACTCGGGATGTCATGTTCCGATACAGACCATAAAGCATAAACGATAACATTACAAGTCATTCAATAAATATATACATATACATACTTGTAAACAAAACAACTTGATAATTCATCCATCTTATGCCCTCGCGCCACTACCTATAATACAAATAAACTGAGTGGGTCAGGCTTGGGAACCTGGTGAGCATATAGGGTTTTCTACCCATAATAAATAATTATATTTAATTTCACCAACCAATAATAACCCGATTACCCATTCTCGTTATCCTCACTTTACGTCCCTAAAACAACATCTATTACAAGGGACCTAATCTAGGAATTTTATCGGGACAGACATTACTGCTAAGGGGTTTCCTCAACAATAAATATCCTAAAGGCAACCATGAAGGGGATAGAGTAAACCGGTGAACACATCGTTCACAACATCTACAGGTTATGAACCTGCTAGCGTTCCACAAGACTGTCTAGCAAGAGTTCGTGGTCGCCATCCATACCCCGCTAGATGACTAGGTCAACATTAACAACATCGAGACCTCTCATTTATTTATCACACATCAACTATCTACCCATGTTCTACCTAACATATTAGTAGATAAAAATATATATTTTTATATATAGTTTAAAACCTGTATAGCATGTTCAATCAATACATATTCTACATAACAGATGAGGCACACACCAATAACACATATTTCATAGAAAATAAATCGCATCTATGAGATAGAAGAAAGTGAATATACATTCACACATATAATCAACAAAGTATACACATAACGCGTATTTCGTATCAAATACTTGATAATTATAAGTTACAAGAAGCTAACTACACACTCACTTGATTAGAAGATGATCGGACAACACTACGACTTGCAGAAGTAGTATTCTTCGGTAGATTTGGAAGATCTTCACAAAAACTGGGCTCCTCGTGGGCAGAGCTTCGACTCTAGAATTGCGCTTCTCGGGATCTTCGGGCTTCGGGACTTGCTTCGAGTATCGGGATGATACTAGGGCTTCGGGGGTACTTCTTTGCACGTAAATCGATGCAATATAGGTGAGAGGTGAGAGAATGAGCAACCAAACTCGGCTGACCCTTCAAATCTATTTATAGGGCAAAACTGGCCCTTGCCACGTCGTGGCACCTTTTTCCACGTCGTGGGCTTGGTCGTCACTGCATGCGTCATCATCCACTTGCTCTGTCAGGCTCCCGAATGCGTCAGAACTCCTGCCACGTCGTGGTCTCTGACACAACTTTGAGGTTCGCGCCCCGAACTTCATAAATTCATAACTTTCGCATATAAACTCCGTTTTCGACGTTCTTTATATCTACGCGTAGGTGACATTATGATCTACAACTCTTTTTTAGACTCCGTTGGCTAATTTTGACTTTATTTTTAATATATAAAAATATATTACTTATATATTATTTTTAGTAGGCTGGGACAGGAAAACTCCGTTATATATTCATAACTTCTTCATCCGACGTCCGTTTTCGCCTATCTTTTTATCGTTTCACTACTCTTAAAGAGATCTTTGATTCTCGTTTAGATTGTTTCAGCTCAAAACCGCTCAATCTCAAATCGAGTATTCGGGCTGCATACTGCTAAGTTGAAACTTCAGAAAATCATAACTTCCTCATACGAAGTCAGATTTGGGCGTTCTTTTTATGCATGCTCTCGGTTTAACAAACTCTTCAACTTTCATTTATATTACTAAGGCTAGATATCGTTCTATCTTAAATTCGTATTTTACGTCATTCGACGTTGTGCCGATTCTGTCGCGAAACATTGACAGGTCATAACTTCTTCGCTATAACTCGGATTTCGGCATTCTTTATATATTCGGAAACCTTGTTTCAACTACTACAACATTATCCAAAGATATCGGCTTTATTTACTATTTTATTTTGACTCTTATTTTTTTATTCTTAATTCATTTAAGCCGCACAACTAAACACAAAACATATAATACTCAAATAATACATTCTTATTATTTCAAAATGGGTTACAAAGGTTAACATAGACTACTACATTGCTATTAATGACAAGCCCAAAAACACAGGTGTTGCATGTTTGGCTTTGTTGATTCGCATTCGACGGGAAAGTGGTAGAATCACAACGGTATCTTCATTATTGAGGTCCATCACGACACGAGCATTTGTCGTAGTGTAGTCGGAGTCAAATATTTTTGACCTTGTAGTACCACCCATATGAGCTTCGGATGTTCTTATATCATTCCATTTTCTGCAATCTTTTAGTACATTCAAAAACTCAATACGTTTAAAAGCTTCTTTGTGTTCTTTTCAGAATATTTCTAATGGCTTGTTGAAAATGATCGCATCATTTTGACCATTTTCCCATTAGGGTTTCAAGTTGCTAAATAAATCACCAAATATCATCAACTCTTTATTGGTAATCGTTCATTTCGTGCAAATTTGGTATTTTCTTCCATAGTCTACTTAATTCGTTTCTTTGTGGAACCAGTTAAGAACTCGCCTCAAAAAAGTTGGCCATTATTGGTCACTGACAAATGTGTGTGAATGGTTGAATGAATTTGGTTTGCATTGTTAGGGGTAACTATTTGGACCGGTGGATCGGACCCTTTTTTTGGACCCCCGGGCCGGTTCTCGGTTCTAAGAATCCATCAAAACCGGTCCGTTTTTTATCGGGTTTAGAACCAGTTGGACCCGACTTAAAAAAAAATGTAATCTGTGAATTTTTTTAAACAACCATAACTCATTTGTTTTAAGTCGGATTGACACACGGTTTTTTTCAACACTTAATTTACAGTTTGTAGATGAATTTAGACTATAATTTTGTTGATTTTGGTATTATATTATATGAGTTACAGTCTTTCAAAGTTGAGCTATCAAAACTGAAAATTTTCAACTTTTCATCTAACATTTTTAAAATTTTGTAATATGTGAAGATTTTTAAACAACCATAACTCATTCTTTTTAAATCGGATTGACACGGGGTTTTTTTTCAACGTTTAATTTATAGTTTGTAGATGAATTTAGATTATTATAATTTTGTTGGTTTTCGTATTATATTCAATAAGTTACAGTCTTTCAAAGTTGAGCTATCAAAGCTGAAAAATTTTAGTTTTTCAGCAAGATTTTTCAAACTTTGTAATATATAAAAAACTTGTAACAACCATAACTCATTTGTTTTAAGTCGGATTGACCTAAGGTTTTTTTCAACATTTAGTTACAGTTTCTAGATGAATTTTGACTATAATTTTATTAATTTTGGTAATATATATTTAATGAGTTACAATCCTTCAAATGTGAGATATCAAAGCTGATATATTTCAACTTTTTAACTATTATTTTTTACTATAATTCTGAATTTTATGTATCTTTGATAGATAAATCATTTGAAATGGATTTTGGTGAACTTGATTTATATGTTAGTTGTTTTTATTTGGAAAATTAATTTTAAAAGTTATAATATTATAACATCAATGAAGATTTGTTATGCATGAAACAAAAATGTAATCATTTTTATAAGTTGTATTGTATTAAATCCAATAACATATTCGTTTTAACGAGTTTTATCAAACCAAAACGTATTTTAACAACTTGTATTACATACAATTAAAATTGTACCGGTTCAAACGAGTCCAAGAACCAAAAAACCCAGACCTTGACCCGGGCACAACTCATCCTGTCCGGTCCACGGTCCACAATATTCTCCATAACCGGTCCAGTCCGGTTCGGTCCAAATGCTCACGCATATGCATTGTATATTGACCATAATACAGTCTCATATCGGGACAATGGAATACACATGGTGAATAAATAGATCGATTCATTTATGGATGAAAAATGTTTTAGTCGTTTCTACTTTGTGTTTTTTGATTGTTTTAAAATGCCAACCCACTCCACTAGCCTAATATATACTTTTCAGCCTAATATCAAAATACAATATTTAACATATCTTATAAGAAAAAGAACCTCAAAAGTCCAAGTTAGAACGAAGACCAAAATCAAAATATAATACCACTTTCAATTCACAAAGTACAACCAACACCACCATAAGCGCACCATATTTGACAAACAAATATGCAACTTAAACATGAATTATATAAAACTAACATGATCAAAGTCCAAGAAAATGAGAAATAACAATTCATAAATCATCTAAAAAAAAACAAACATTTCCAAAATGTGTCAAATCGTATATACACAAATCCTTCACATTCAAACCACCACCACAACCAATCTCTTCACCATTTCCTAATCGAGCAACAAAAACCCAATAACAGCTCATATGTGTTTCTACCCAGATGATGATGAAACATGATTTGCAATGACCTTCTGAGACATCACCACCGGCCCACTGCCGCCACCGCCATTGCCGCCACCGGAGCGGAAGGCTGCGGCTTCTTCGAGGCGGCTCCAGGTGGCTTCTCGTTTGGCCATGGCTTCTTCCTTTCTTGATTCATCTTCTTTGAACTTCTTTGAGCATTCTTCAAAGAGTTGTGAGTCAGCATCCAAGAAGATCTTTCTGACATTCAAAGTCAAACTTTGAACAGCTTGATTCCAATGAGTTTTTGTGTTTCTTTCTAAAGCTGGAAATATTATTGGCAAGATTACTTTCCGATTTTGTTTGATTAAGGTCTCGATATGATCGTTGTTCCATAGGAATAATGCTCTTTCTGCCACCTGTGTATTCAACAAATAGCAACATATTTTCACATAATTCGGAAGATTTTTATAAGTATAAATATGTCCTAATAAGGAAAAAAAAAAAATCCAAAGTACAAGTTTGAAAATTTGTTTTTGTTTTAGTCATTCCTTCTGATTTTAACCTGTTTCAATCTTTTAAGCTGCTGAGTTGGCTGCCACCTGTCGCCTGCGTGGCGGATACATGGCACCAAACTTTTGACATGATCAGGTTTTAATTAAAGAAAATGACAATGTCCCTCTCTCATTTATCTTTTCATTATTGAAGTCAAATGAGAGACACCTCTCTCATTTATGTTTTATAGTGAAGTTAAATGAGAGAGGAACATTGTCATTTTGTTTAATTAAAACCTGATCATGTCAAAAGTTTGGTGCCATGTATACGCCACGTAGGCGACAGGTGGTAGCCAACTCAGCAGCTTAAAAGATTGAAATAGGTTAAAATCAGAAGGAATGACTAAAACAAAAACAAAATTTCAAACTTTAAAGTTAGAAGAAATTGTTGCCAATTTATGATACTAATCCTATTATAAAGACCCTTTTAGTCATTTTTCTCTAAAAAAAGTTGTAAAATGTGAGGATTTTTTCAGGAAAAATTAAAAAAGCCGAGGATTTACTTGAAAACATTTACAAGGTCGAGGATTTTTTTCGGAAAATTAAAAATACAAAGTTGAGGGTTTTTTCAGAAAAATAAGCTCTTTTTCAAGCAAAAAATAAAGTCGAGGTTTAATCCAGAAAGAAACACAAAACATAAAGTCTTTTACAAGATTAACCCTTATAAATCAAAACATGAAAATTTTCAAAAACACTCTTTCCATAATAGCATACTAAAATCAACATAATCACTTCCATGTAACTATCCCACGGGCAAATAGGTAATTTGACCTAAACACTTCAAAAAAAATGCAACCTTTTCATATTTAGAACTAAACATTTTTGTATCACCTCTCACACATCAAAACTCAAATAACTAAAAAAAAAAAAAGACTTGTCACAATTTTATAAAAATCAAAATCATACCTGAAAATGTGAACTGCTTAAACATCGAGCAATCTGTCGAAACAAAGGCACCATACATCTTTGAAACTCAGGAGGCTGAGTAGCTTCCAAAACCTCTTCAAGTTCACTCAAAAACATGACTTCTTTTGAACTATTAGTAATAGGCCAATACTTCAACAAACCCCTAATAACCGTATCCGCAAGCTTACAATCTTTTTCAACAAATTGTGTAATACAATACGATATTTGTTGGTGATACATCGGTATACATTTCGGTTTGTGAAGTGGTATCAAAGCACGTACTAAAAACAACTTATGTTCTTCCTTTAATGGCAATGCAAATCCATTAATTATACTCCCTAAAATCTCCAACAATTCGGCAATTCCATTATGCTTTTCGGTTTCAAACACGAATCGAAAGAATATGTTGTTGATTGATTTTCGGATAAAAGGGCGATGAACCATGAACTTTCCATACATTCTATGAAGAACAAATTTTAGGTATTCGCGTTCGCGTGGATCTTCTGAATCGAATAAATCTAACCATTTTAGAACGAAGGGTTGATCAATGTAACGTTTGGCTAGTTTTGGATCGGTTTCGGGTGATGCGACAAATCTTAGGATGAATTCATAGATTAGTTGTAAATGAGGCCATGAGGGATCCATTGAAGGCTCTTCTTCTTCTCCATCAAATGTTTCGAGAATTTTGTTGTCACGTGGTTGAGGGGTGAGTCTTCTAAAGATGTTTAGGGATACCATGTTCACGATTTCTTGCATGATGGTTTCGGGGAACTTTCCACTTGCGGATGAGACATAGTCTACGAGTTCTACTAACGTTTGTCTTTTGATTTCTTTTTCTTTTAGGGTTTTTGTGGGGTCGGTGAAATCGAATACAACACAACAAAGTTTTAGCTTTCGGATGAAGAGGTTTTGTTTTTCGGAGTTTGGGACATCTTTGAAAGAAGGTAAGGCTTCGTATGAAGATGAAGATGAAGATCCGTTTAGTTTTGATGTTTGAGGTTGGAGAAGCTTGTTGTTGTTTGTGAGTTTTTGGGGTGTGGGATTTGAATTGGCGAATCGATTAGGGTTTGGGTTTGAATCGTTGTTGGATCTTGAACTTGTGGATGTGTTTGAGGAGGAATTAGGGTTTCCTTGATCTCGATTATCGTGAGATTTAGGCTTTCTTGGAAGCCGATTAAAGATCTTATTGATCATAACTTAGGCAAGAAAGTGAAGTTTTCTTGCTAGCCTAATACCAAATTAGCAAAACCCTAATCAGTTTTGGAGTCGAATGGTTCTAATTAGTAACAAAATGTGGGATTAACATCAAGAAATCCCACAAGAAGCCAATTTCATGAACGCGCCTTTGAATTACTTCAATTTTCCGGAAAACCAAGGCAAATCGTAGTTATAACTTACGCTTAAATCAACGGGAACTTCAAACTTGACTTCTTCTGCAAGCAATTAAAAGAAATTGAAAATTAAAAGGAGGAAAACAACCGAACAATGTTGAATAGAGACTATACACAGATTTTGTTTATCAATAGCACAATTACAGTTTTTCTTTTGAAGAAGGATCAAGTTTTGATTTTTAATCAGAATGAGTAGAAATAGCGCAAGGAGATGAAAAGGGTTTCTTTCGTTCATCCTCATAGTTGACTAAATACTCTCATTTAGATCAAAAGTTCAAAACACAACAAGTTATCAAGAACACGAAGAACACAAGTGTATAGTTTTTTTTAAGTAGAAGGGTCAAATTTTGATTTTTAATTAGAATTACTTGAAATAGCACATGTTCATGAAAAGGGTTTCTTTCGTTGCACATCATTAGTTGATTAAAGACTCTCATTTAAATCAAAGCATAACAAGATCTGAGGTATGATCTACAAGACCCACATAGCATTCTTGAACACGAATCTTCTACGATTAACACATGTAAAAGAAAAGGCAAACATATGAAGACAAAAACACCCAAATTACATGATTTCTGGTACAGAATCCATGAAAAGCAGGATAAATTAGAAAAAGAAAAAGGGAAAGATAGCATACTTACATGAGGTTTTTCTTGAAACCCGGTGTAAATCAAGATAGAAGGGCATAAGAAGATAAATACTGGATCACTGATACAAATTTGAAAACGATCTCAATTGGGGAGAGAGAAGGGAAGAGGAAGAAGAAGAAGAAGATGAGAGAGAAAATGGGCTTATATAACTTATAGGAAAGCGATCTCTGGTTCTATCTGTATGGTTCGCTAAGAATTTAGAAAAAGGAAAAGGAAATTATTATTACAAATGAATAAAATTGTTCTGAAAAGGGTTTCTATTCTCCAAGTGCCGGGCCATCTTGGTTGATCAGAATCTAGTGATATTGAAATTCAATTTCTTTCTATGGAGGAGTTACGTTAAAAATTAGGATATAATTTAATTTCATTAGAATTGATTTTCTCAAACAAAAGATCTCAACTTTTCTATCATTATCATTTTTGTAGATTCCCAATTTTATTTATTCTCTTTGATGTTAAAAACCCAAAAAAATTTAATTGATGAATAGTAATATATTATAGTGTTATTTTTTTTTTTCATTTTATTACAATTGCTTTTATAAAATTGTTTCAGAATTTGATCAGGTATGTTGAATATGTAATTGTGGTAAGAAATTTTATAAATAAGGGTCAAAATTCATTACACATGTAAAATATATTTAGTGTTGTATGATTTATACGTATAAAATATTTTTAGTGTTTTATGATTTACATGGGTTATGAGACAGATGAATCGTCCAAAAAGTACAATTTACCTTATTTTTTATCATTGGTTCTTATTAAGTTTCGACAAGCATTTCACTTTAGGTTTCAATTAATGTTATTTTAAGTGATATATGAGTGTTTTATGGGAGTCGTGTTTGACTCATGATATGAAGCCTTAATGGTAAAACTGTTAATGCTTCAGTCTAATACTTGGAGAATCATTAAAGTTAATGTTTTACGTGGTTTTATTTTGAATGTCCATAAGCATTAATGTATGAGGTTCAAAATTTGACGCTTTCAAAATATTGTTAGTATTTTACGATTTACCCATATGCGATGGCTCGAGACGGCTCAACGTGGTCCGTCCAAATAGTACACTTTACCGTTTGTTTAAAAATGTTTATTATCTTGTTGACTTATTTAGAGATAATTGGTGTTTGTGCTAGATCATAGGTCACCTACTTTGAGATTGATTTGAGAAACCTTATGAAATGTATTTGTGATGACCTCCGAGAAGGATAATTCAAATAGGTTTGAACCATTAGAGGTTTCATATTGTAAACTTTTTGATGTGGTTTTGAAATCTTTTTAATGATAGGTTTCATGGCATCGAAGAAGAAAACGTTTGGAATATTGATTTTATCAGAAAGCATGGTGAATTTAGACACAAAAAAATCATTTTTTCTTCTAAGTAAGATTAAACGGTCTATGTTGATGTCCTAAAGGTATGTATTTTTAGATTTGAGGTTTGAATGTATGTTATGCACATGTTTTTATGTGGGAACCTATATAACATTATTGTTGTAATGAATGTGAGTTATTAAGGTTGTAATGAATGTGAGTTATTGGGTTAAACTTGGATCATATGTCATTATTTTAGTCTTCATTAAAAATTTACATCTTTTCTTGGTGGATTTAGCATTAATAGTATTTTATAGTTCTATTAAGGGCATGTTGTGTTAAGAATGAAACTTCACATTAGTAGAGATGGTTAATAGTTTTCTTTTGTAAGTATCATGGGAATCTATGTAACATCCGGATTTTCAGGGTTATTATTGTGTAGTTTAATCTTTTGATTAAAGGAGAGACTCGACGAGTTGAGGATCCAACTCGCCGAGTCGAGATAGGTTTTTCTCGTGGATTTAATGAGTGGACTCGACGAGTCAGAGGAGGGACTCGCTGAGTAGGTGCTGGGCAGAGAAACCCTAATTTCTCGGGTTTGGGACTTATTTAAACTTCCTTATGGCCTTCATTTGTGGCCACTACACCCTGAGAAACCCTAGAGAGAAAGCTTGTGGTGCAAGAGGAGGGCCAATTCATCATATTTTGGTGTGTTCTAGCAAGGGGAAGGATGGATTTCGTGTTAAGCTGTTTTGTGGGACTCAAATCTTCCATCATTTCGTTCAAAGCTGCTGTGAGAGGTAAGGATTCATGTTCATCTTCATTTGTGTGATAGATTTCATGAATCTAGGGCTTCTTCTCTTCTTTTGGTAAGAGATCTTGAGTATGTGATGTCCCCTTGTGTGTATATCTTCAGATCTGGACCTTGAGAGGTCCAGAGAGTCCCTATTCCCTAGCTTTATGCAGTCCTTTATGAGTTTGGAGCTTAGGTGATCATTTTAAGGGTTATTTCTCCATCTATGGCTAATTGTGGGTTGCATAGTCATGGAGGAAACTCGCCGAGTCCATGGGAAGACTAGACGAGTCGAGTCGGGTTGCCCCGCGATTCGAATCTAGTGGAAACTCGTCGAGTGGAAGGTTCACTCGACGAGTCGAGTGAGGCCTTGTAGGAGTCAGAAGACACGCATTGACTCGTCGAGTCACTCTTGTGCACTCAACGAGTCTGGTTAGAGTTGACCGTTGACTTGAGTTGACTTCTGTTGACTTTGGGGTTTTGGTCAACATAAGTAATGGAGATCATAGAGGGGTAAAATGGTCTTTTACCCACTACCCGATTAGAGAGGGAAAGAGAAATTATCGGTTTAATTAGGGATATTTGCCTTATGTGCTAGGCGGTGGCGAGTTCAAGATTCAAGTGTAAAGATAACTGCTTTCTGCTTTCAGGTGAGTCTTCTCACTATACTTTACCTTGAGTGAAATTAGAGTTATGTGATAGAGTTATTGTATGCTATTTATGTGATGTGTTGCACTGCATTATTTCTATGTGATTTATGCCGTATGTATATCAGAGTATATCAGAGTTAGAACCGGAAGGTTCACACAGCTAGGACAAGAGGGTCCACAGAGTTAGGGCCCAAGGGCCCACAGAGTTATAGTCTCGAGTGGCTAGTATGTGTTATGTGTGGTATTTTGGGGAACTCACTAAGCTTCGTGCTTACAGTGTTTTGTGCTTTGTGTTTCAGGTTTTCTGAGGATCACGGGATGCCGGGATGGCATCGGCTCGATTGTACACACCAGAGAAAGAGTTATGTTTTAGAGGATCCTGGATTACTATTTATTTGATTATGGAGTTATGTTTTTGTAATTTAAACAAAAATGAGATTTTTACAGAAAGAGTTTTAAGATCAAAGAGAATTTGAAATGAAATTTTAGTTTTGAAAATTTTCGGTGTTACAATCTATTTGTTGCTTGGTAGTTTTGAAACATAGAGATTTGCGTATGATTAGTGTCTTTGGTGATTCTCATTTTGGTATATTGATTATGATGATTATAGGAATACATATTTGTTAAAAATAGGTTTATTGCTTTTAAAAAACAACTTGAAGGCTTTAAAAGTGAAGATTAAAAATCTGAATGTTAATTATATCAGAAGATAAAAAATGGATAAGCTGGTAATTTATGATAGATTATGTGAGATTGTTAAACTTATTCATGAGGGGACATGATCTGAGTAGCTTACTGATGAAAGAGTCAATCTTACTATAAGGTTGTGAGAGATTGATAAGTAGAGTTGTTAAATGTGGCTTGGAAAGCAAGAATAACTAGGTTATAAAATGTGATGAAAACTCCAAGTACTATCATGGAATTTCAAAAAGAAAAGGAGGGGAAATGTGTATTAATGGTGTTTAGATGGATGATGAGTGGATTAAAAATTTGTAGGGAATAAAAGATGAATCTTGGAAATTTTACGAAGATAAAATTGATGAGTTTCATGGAATCTAAATATGTACTCAAAGTGACCATTTAATTCCTTCAACTTGATTCAAAATGGTAATAACGAACAACATGTCACGATGGAAAGAAATTAGGCATGTAGTATCGGAGTGTGGTAGTGAAAAGGCTCTAGGACATGATGGCTATATTTTTTTGTCTTTGTAAAAAGGTATTAGGGTTACTTAAAATTGGATGTTTTTGCTTTTTTTGAGCAACTTTTTTAAAACTAATAAGATCCTAATTGGTTGTAACTCTTCTTTTATAAATCTAATCTCGGAAGTACCCAATTCAGTCAACTTTAAAGATTTTGGACATATCTCTCTAATTAGGGTACAATAAAAGATAGTTTACAAAC